CTATAATAGCATTTCAATTTCATTTAGTATGGGCCATTTTTTGGTCCATGTTTCAGCCAACCAACCAACCAAACTATTGAAGCCCTTTCTAACACTTTGAGCTGCAACATTAAATCCAGAATCTCTGTTTAGTGGATCCGTGTCAGTAAATTCAGCCTTATCCAAATTTATGCTCTTTCTATCATTATCCCACACGCTTCATATCTATTCTCACAAATATTCTCCACGTTTCTATCTGTATAAATTGGAAAAACCAGGTGGTTCTTTTGGTATATAACATAATTCCTCATAGATCACAGTTTGTACCTAAACCATGAGAACAGCTAGGACTTAAGTCTAGGCACAGGTCTAGAGAAGCAGGGGGACCTGGGGTAAGTTCTGAGGAGAATCTGTAGTATCTTGCAAGGCAACTACCTCAGGGGAAGCCACGACAGATGCTTTAGGAAAATCAGGGTTAACCTCCTCAGATGGGGTGGGAGGGCTGCTTCCATCGGCAAAGAAGACCCAGCAGAATTTAGGAGTTTGAAGACTCCAGCGAACCTTGTCAGGATGTTCCATATACCTTCATTCTAATTTTCAGGATCTCATTCTTCCCCAGTCAATGCCCTAACTTTAACAGAAGACACCTTGCAACTTTGGAAATTTCATTTGCATTGTAATTCGGCAACTCACAGAATGAGACTATGGATTTGGTTTTTAGAAATCTCAGACCTATGGACACTGGAGACAAAGGTTCCTTAAGGGCAGACACTGAAACTTTGAGTTCATTTATGCAGAGTTTGAACTGAGAATTTGAAGTTCTGAGGTCATCCTTTTCTTACCCCACTTTCTTCAGTGCAGTTAGGAACAACCAGTCAACTATATTATACTAGTTAGTTTAACTAATATGTTCTAAAGTGTCAAATACGTGGTCATGCAAAACCTTGCCTTTTGTGAGTATGTGATTAATAGTAGCCAATGGTGATAGTTTGTACCACTACTGCCACATCACATCCAGGTCTATTAGCACCCTCTTTATTATAATAATAGAGTGAGTAGGGCTTTTAAGTATAATCAGAGAACCAATTCCAGCAAACCCAGACTCAATTAATAAAACTCAACCTAAGACTCCATTCCTCTAGTCTAGAATAATTCTTGGTACCAAAATATATATGTCAGTCAGGGTCCTGCAGAGAAACAGAACCAGTAGGATGGTGGTCTATCTGATCTGTATATCTGTCTATCCATCTATGTAACATATCTCAAGGAATCGGCTTACACAATTGTAGGGGCTAACAAGACCAATATACCTATGGCTGGTCAGTAGGCTGGAAACTCTTGGGCAGGAGCTGATGTCACAGTCTTGAGACAGAATATTTTCTTTTTCCAAGAAACCTTGTGTTTGCTCTTAAGGTCCTTCGACTGATTGTATGAGGCCCATCCACATGATGAAGGGTCACTATTTTATTTAAAGTCAACTGATTATAGATGTTAGTAACATTCGCGGGGGAGCTTCAAAGCAGCATCTAGATAAGTATTTGATTAAATGACTGGGTACTATAGCCCAGCCAAATTGACGCAACAAACCACCACACAGTTACTGTCTTCTTTACTTCATTCAGAGTATCATTCTTAGAGAAACATTTTTTAAGACCAAACTAATAAAATAAATCATCTCTAGTTCTGATTATCATGAGTGCTTTGCCACATCAAATGAGATGTTGCAAAATAATAGGTCTTTTCACTATATTCCATTCATTCATTACAGAATATAAATTTGTCCAAATAAAAATAGAAGCTCATCAAAAAAATTCTTCTTACAAGTTGAGATTTGAAAACACAATGATAAATTTCAATATTAAATCTTGTACAGTGCCTGGCTCTCATTGTTTAATATATTCACTTGCTTCCTCACTTTCGTAGTGACAATTTTAATGGCTTTTTATACAGACCTTGTTTTCGCTACCTGTAATTTGCTGAAAGTTTTAAAACCTTAAGGTTGGTTGAAGTTCCATTCACTGAACACTATGATTAAAGATTCAGAACCGATTCTGAACAAATTGCAACAAAAATGAATACAGGACTCATTTAAAAAGAAGTTCAGTACCAATGTAGGGCACTGGATTGATTTTAAAAGTGGTTCTCCAAGACTTCAGCATTTGTAAAATGTGACTGATGTCAGACAACAAAGAATAAAGTGTACACTGTCATGCTTGAAAATTTTTTAATTCATCAAATATTTGCACTTCAATTACTTGAGGTATTTTATTTGCTCATCTTGCCCCTTTGTCTAGGTATTCCTCAGGTATAATCTTTGGCTATCCATTCATACTTACAAATAAAGGCCATTTTGCTTAATATAGGTCACTTAATGCAATTGTTATCTCTGTCTTTAGCAGTCAAAACTGGTTTCACCCATTTTTCTGGCAAACCAACTAATTTAAATTTGCTCTGGATGCCTTATTTTAAATGAAGTATCATCATCGGTAGTTGAATTGAAATAAGCATGGATTGGTTTGCTATACCTCTGCTGTTGACTTTCATGATTCTGCCATGGTCTGGTCTCTTGATGTGAATGACACACGTGCACTGAAGAGAATCTTCATTTTAACATGTGGGTAAATCTGAGTCACCAACTGATAAAACCACCTTTCTTCCAGATCTTTTATAAATGCTATGTAACACTCCCTTTCAATGTCAGTAGGTAAAATGCTCAGTGAATGACATGAAATGTGCTCACGTATGAGTGGTTAAGTGATTAGCCACAGCTATGTCTTCACTGGATTCTTTAGTAGTAAAGCATACTAGTCACTTTAATAAATAAGCCCCAACACTTCAGTGGCTCAGCACAATCGAAATTTACCATGTGCCAGTCAGTACAGATGTTCCCGGTCAGTAAGCAGCTATCTTGCTCACGATGATTCAGGAACCCAGGTTTCTGAGCCCCTCTGTTTCCTGTGTCTAGACGATGAGATGGGACAGAAAATTTCTTAAAAGTTTTGGCCTGGAAGGGGCACAGAGCACTTCCACTTATAATCTGTAGCTGATTACTGGTTACACGGCCACATGAGGAAACAAAGGGGACTAAAAAATATAATCCTTGATTGGGCAGCCATGTTTCAATTGCAATTCCCTGTTATGACGGAAAGGGCTGCACAATTTTTGGCTGACAACAAGTACTCCGTGTCATTGATTCTTAACTGTTTACATTAAAATAAATTCCAGATGGATCAATATTTAAATTAAAAAGGAGATAATTATTGTCTTAGTCTGTTAGTGCTGCTATAACAAAATACTCGAGACTGGGTAATTTACAAAGAACAGGAATTTACTTCTCACAGTTCTGGAGGCTGGAAGTCCAAGATCAGGGCACTAGCAGGTTCAGTGTCTGGTGCAGGTCTGGTCTCTGCTTCCATGGTGACACTTTGTTGCTGCATTCTCTAGAGGGAATGAAGGCTGTGTGAACACGGCAGCAGAGTGGAAGGGCAAAAGGGCCTAACTAGTTCCCTTCAGCCATTTTATAAGGTCACTAATCCCATTCATGAGGGCTCTACTCTCATGATTTAATCGTACCTAAATGCTGTCACTTTGGAGTTTAAGTTCCAACATATGAATTTTGGAGGGACACATACATTCAAATCATAGCGATTATACTCACAAAAGGGGAAAAGTCTGTTTATTATTAAAAAAAACTTAGAACTCATGAAAGAAAAGCAATAATTAACTCAACTACAAGAATAAGCCAAGGCAACCAGCAAAATGGGGGAAAATTTAGTAACTCCAGTCACAGGAAAAGTGGTCATTTCTTTAATATATTAATGGTTCCTATAAATCAAGAAGAAAACATCAACAGTCCAACAGGAAAATCAGCAAAAGATACAAGATGATAATTCGCCCAAAAAGGAAAGTTAAAGATAAGAAGCAATGAAGTCAAAATTAAACCAAAGTAAGATACCAATGACACAAAACAAATATTTTGCTGACACTGTGGGCTAGGCTGTGGCCAATTCACACATTGCACATGAGGGTATAACTGATACCACTTCTATGAATATTAATTTCTTACTAGCTCTAAAAATTTTAAAGGACCTATCCTTTGGCCTAGTACATCCACTCTAAAACAAATCTCTCAGACATGGTTCCAGTATATGGATCAAACAAAAGACATTCATTCACTGAGCACTGTTTATAAGAGCAAACGGCTCTAAGCAACCCATGGGTTCCTCGATAGGACTCTGGCTAAATTTACATTTCATCCATACACTGGAAAAGTAGAGGGCAGTTCAGAGCATAAGATGAATCTCTACGCACTGACATGGTGAGATCCTCTGCCACAGGAGATGAAAAACGTAATCTGTGTAACAGCGCAGTAAGATTTATGAAAGATACATTTGCATGTATCTTTGATATGTGTACAAATGCATAGAAAAGGGTTTGTAAGGATAAAGATCCACTTTTTCACACTTCCTTTGAGAAGGGGAATGAGACAACAAGGTTAGAGATTTTTTTCCATTCTATTTACTTCTTTTTACAAGGCGAACGTATGTCCATGTCATGTGTGTAGCCAGAGAATGAAAATAATAACCAAGTCAAGTGTATCAGGTTCACAAAAGCCTTACCTGAAACTGCTGCTGGGTGAGCCCAGGGAAGGTAAAGGCTGCCACGCAGGTCACACGTGATTGGCGCCATTTGCCTGCGTGCCTGGGACCCGGCCAAATTCTCTCAGTAAATTTTGAGTCCTGTAGGCCAGGCTCACATTTGACGGCCTCGAAGAAGCGTTTCTTGTATTTTCTGAACTCCTGAGAGGTCAGACACGCCACAAATTTCGGGCTACTCAGCTGACGGGTCAAACCACGTGCTCCCCAACGGCGCCTCAGGCCTCGGCGCGAGCAGCCCCAGCTCAAACAGACTTCCTTGGAATTTCTCCAGGAAACCGTCGCGGGGTGGCGATGGGAGCTCCGTCCAGCAGCTACTATTCCCCCCGCTGGCCCGAGTGAGAACGTCGCCTGTGCTTCCCGGAGATGAGCCTCAGTCGCTCTCGGGTGGCGCCGGCGCCGAAGAGCAGGCGGGAGGTGGCGGTGGGGTCGGACTCCGAGTCGGAGTCGGAGTTGGAGCCGCCCGACGCTGCAAGGCCCGCGTCCCAGGAGGCCCTGGCGTCGGATCAGGGACAGGAATGGCCAGCGAGCTCGGCTTCGGGGCAGGCCTCGGAGCAACGACCGTCTACAGAGCAGGAGGACCGGCCGTCGCTGGAGGACAAGTCGTCGCTGAAGGACAGGCCGTCGCAGGAGTACCAGACGTCGCGGGAGTCGGGGACGAGAGACCTGTCCCTGTGGGAGCCGGAAATCCAGACGCCCCGGGCCGCGGGCCGGCGCCGCTGCCACACCGACTGCCTGGAGGCGCCGCTCTCCAGCGCCTTCGGTTGCCTGGGCTGGGCGGTGGGCGCGCACCCCTGGTTCTTCCTGCTCGCGGCCATGATGCTGACGGCCGCGCTCGGCTCCGGCCTGATCTACCTGCCCAAGGACAAAGAGGAAGACCTCGAGCAGCAGTACACCCCGATCGGGGGCCCAGCCAAGGCCGAGCGGCGCTTCGTGCAGGCTCACTTCACCACCAACGACTCCTACCGCTTCTCCGCCGCCAGGAGGAGCACCGAGGTCAGTTTCGCCTCCATCCTGGTGGTCGCCAACGCCGCCTCGCTGCTGGAAGAAGACACCTTTACGGAAGTGAGTAGACTGGACGACGCGGTGCAGTCTGTGTCCGTGGAGGAGGTTAACGGAACCCAGATCCCGTACACGCAGGTGTGCGCCAAGTACAAGAACGTCTGCGTGCCCCCCAACCCGCTCCTGAACGCCTGGCAGCAGAACAGAACGCTCGACCTGAGAAACGTCACCTTCCCCATCTTCGACTACGAAGACCATCCCATCTACCTGGGCGGCTTCTTTGGAGGAAATGCCCTGGGTAAGAGGATGGGAAGGAACCAGTTACTCCTGCAGACCAAAGCCCTGCGGCTGCTGTACTACCTGAAGACCGAGCGACTGGAGGACAAGCTGCGGAGCAAGCAATGGCTGGCTCATTTCCTGAACCAATTCAACAACATTAAGAATGGCCTGAACTTGAAGAATATAAAGGTACCTGGCGGTTAGAGTTTACAGGGAGGCCCGGAGATGGGAGGGATGAGGAAGACTTGCCCCGAGAACACTAACAATGGCCCTCCCTGACTATGTGATAGGGTCCTTGCCTCAAAGCTGAGTGTTCTCTACTGTATTTGGTCCTTAATCCAACTTTCTTAAATGAGCACCGAAGGATGCCACAAATCATGAATCCCTGGTAATATTCTAGTCCATAACACAAATCCTATATCCACCAGGTAGATCTGTTCAGTATGGACATTGAGCTTCACGTTTAATTTGGGGGTTTGGTTTCCTAATCAAATTCAGTACTTTGAAATTCTTACTTTTGGTTAGTCTTCACTAACCAAAGTTAGTGGGGAGAGCCCCCTAAAACTTGTTTGGAGTTCATTGGGATGAAAAAACAAACTTTTACGTAAAAGTTCCATGGTTAGGAAGGTAACTAGCTCAGCATTTTTCAGGTGAGTCGTAGATAGAGCCCCTAGCTTAGTGTGAGGAACATATTAGCTGTTCGGTAACTGTTGGGTCAACAACTCAACTAATACTTATAAATATGCCTGGTGGATGTCAGATGCCTTCTGGAAAGAGCCTTTGAAGACCAGGCCTTCTTGAAATGATATTTATGCAACTAAAATGGTAAAAGATACAAACCTAATAAAAATTTAGAGAGAGCTACCCTTTCTACAGTTACTAATCAGGACAAGATTTCATAGTTTTATATAAAATTCAGATTCTATATATTCAGGAGTTTTTAAACTTTGCATTTTGAAAGAAACTTTGGAAAGTACACCATGGATTTGTGGGAAGAAGCATATCTGCATTATCTTCTGTATTCTAAAATCATAATCCATGTATTTTGAGCTCTTACTGAATTTTAACATGTTTCAATCAATAAGCTATAGTGTTTCAATAGCGTTTTGTAATTCACACGTGAATACTGGAATTATAAGTTATTCACCTGAGTATATTTTTGTGGCAGGTGGTCCACTTTACATCACTTTCTAGACAACTGGAATTTGAGGCAACTTCTAAGACAGTGATCCCTTTGTTTCACTTGGCGTACGTCCTAATCATTCTATTTGCAGTCGCATCATGCTTCAGGTAAAATGATTTAATTAGTTTTTTAATCTCATACTTTGTAAGAAATATTGTGGTAAAATATATATAATATATAACATATGTCATTATTGCCATTCTTAAGTATACAATTCGGCGGCATTAATTACATCCACACTGCTGTACAGCCAAAACAGTTTCTAAATATTTTCCATCACCCCAAACAGAAACTCTGTAACCATGTCACAATAACTCCTCAAGGCTCTCTCCCCTCCAGTCCCAGTTAACCTTTAATCTACTTCTCTATGAACTTGCCTATTCTAAAGATTTCATATGAGTAGAGTCATGTATTTGTCTTTTTGTGACTGGCTTATTTCACTTAGTGTAATGTTTTCAAGGCCTTGTAGCACATATCAGAACTTCATTCCTTTTTATGGCTGACTAATACTGAGTCCTCCAACTTTTTCTTTTTCAAAATTATTTTGGTCATCCAGGACTCCTTGCAATTCCATGTGAATTTAAGGGTTGGCTTCTCTATTTCTGGGGGAAAAAAAGGTGGTTGGAATTTTGACAGGGATTGTGTCAAATCTGTAGAGTGTTTTGAGTAGGACTGGGCATTTTAGCAATATTGAGTCTTTCTACCAATGAACTAAGCATCTTTCCATTTATTTAGGTCTTCTTTAGTTTCTTCTACCAATGTTTGGTAGTTTTCAATGTGCGAGTCTTTCACCATCTTGGTTAAATTTATTACTAGATATTTTATTCTTTGAGAGCTATTTATTTTTATTTTTTTTATTTCAGCATATTATGGGGATACAGATGTTTAGGTTATGTATGTTGCCCTTACCCCCCCCATTTTAAAGCTATTTAAATGGAAATGCTTTCTTAATTTCCTTTTTGGGTTGTTCATTGCACACCTATAGAAACACAACTGATTTTTGTGTGTTAGTCTTGTATCCTGTAGCTTTGCTGAATTTGTTTATTAACTCTTATAGTTTTCTTGTGGATTTTTTGGAATTTTCATGTATAGGATCATGTAATCTGTGAAAAGGGATAGTTATATATTTCCTCCTTTCAAATTTAAATGCCTTTTTTTTTCTATTTATCTAAGCTCTGGCTGGAACTTTCAGTATAATGTTGAACATCACTGGTTAAAGTAGGCATCTTTGTCTTGTTTCTGATCTTAAGGGGAAAGCTTTTTGTCTTTCACTCAAGTATGATGATGGTTTCATGATTTTCATAAATGTCCTTATCATTTTGAGGAATTTCCCTTGTATTTCCAGTTTTTGCATGTTTTTTATCATGAAAGAGTATTGGATTTTGTCCAGTGTCTTTTCAGCATCTATTGAGATGATCATGTGGTTATTTGTTGTCCTTTGTTCTGTTAATGTGGTATTGATTGATTTTCCCTGTTGTGTTTCAGGGATAAATCCCACTTGGCTATGGTATACAATCCTTGTAATATGCTATTGGATTGGGTTTGCTGGTATTTGTTGAGGACTTTTGCATCTATATTCATAAGAGATATTGTTTTATGGTTTTCTTGTGGTATCTTTGATATTGGTATCAGTGTAATGATGGTCTCATAAAATGAGTTAGGAAGTGTTCCCTCCCCTTCAGTTTTTTGAAAGAGTTTGAGAAGGATTAGTGTTAATTCCTCTTTAGATTCTTGGTAGAATTCATTAGTGAAATCATCTGGTCCTGAACTTTTCTTCATTGGGAGTTTTAATACTGATTTTATTGAGAGTTTTAATTTTTCTTGTTATAGATCTGTTGAGATTTTCTATCTCATCTTAGGTCAGTTTAGGTCATTGGTGTGTTTGTAGGAATTTGTGCATTTCATCTAGGTTATCCAATTTGTTGGCATATAGTTGTTCATAGTATTTTCTTATAATCTTTTCTATTTCTATAAGGTCAGTAGTAATATCTCCACTTTCATATCTGATTAATTATTTGTGTCTTCTATTTTTTTTCCCTTTGTCATCATAGATAAAATTTAGTCAGTTTTGTTGATTGTTTTAAAGAACCAACTTTTGGTATTGTCTGTTATTTTTCTATTTTCTGTTTTGTTTATCTCTGTTCTAATCTTTATTATTTCCTTCCTTCTTGCAATGGTCTGAATGTGGGTGTCCTACCAAGATTCATATATTGAAATGTAATCCCCAATGTGATAGTATTAAGAGGTGGGATCTTTGGGAGGTGATTAGAATGGGATTAGTCCTCTTACAAGAGAGTTCCAAGGGAGCTTGTTAGACCCTTTCACCATGTAAGGATACAGCAAGAAGGCGCCATCTATAAATTAAAGA